AAGTCTTCATTTTTGTGATTAAAGCTAGCAAACCAGTCTTTTTCTTTATTTTTTTCATTAAAAGCTTAAAAGGGTTCATATGTTTATCCCATATTTTAGTAGAAGTTCTACATTTTAGTTCCAAATCATTTGTGGGATTTTTGTGTCTTTAAATAAACATAAACCTTAGTTGCAAAAATAATCTAAAACCTACTGGTTTCAGAGTAAGTGGTTTCCAACAGAAATGAGAGCAGATGGCAACTATACTTCATCTCTTCCATTTTCTTCCTTCACCTAAATATAATCCTTCTTTCTTTTTTGCACCCAAAAATAGTTCAAGGAGTTTCTGTGATTATATTAAATTATCTAAATAAGCTGATAAATAGTAACACCAAGAATACATTGTTCCATTATTACTCTCATATCAAATTATTTTTACTGTGACTAATTCTCTGAGCATAAAAAAGAAACTACTTCTTTAATAACTTCAGTCATCAAAACCTAGTCTGTGACACTGGAATAAAACATTAATATATAGTTAACTATTAGCTTAAGTTCACAAAAGTCATATATTAAATATTTCATCTTTTAAATGTTACTTTTAAGTTTTTTAAAAAAACTGTGCTGATGACTGGAGAAGCACAAAAGATACTGCAAGTCATTGTAAAAAGCTACTAATTTGACACCGACCTAGATTCTAGGATTTAAAGAAATGATTACTTGGATCCAGACTTAACAGGGCCCAAACACTTAGCAGAAGGAAAGCAGTCTAAGTATAAATAAAGGTAAGTATGAAACAGAGAAATGCAAAACAAGGAAGTTCTTCACCCTGTGTGAAGAGGCCAGGAAAGGCTTTTAAGGTGACATTTAAAATTAGTCTTAAAGGATAAATAAGAGTTCTCGAGAAAGTATAAAGGAAACATGTGAAAGCCAAGGAGGCAAGAAAAAGCACAGCCAGCACAAAGTTCATGAGGAAACTTGTAAATGGAATTATTTACATATTAACTATTGATTCGATGATACTTATAGCTTTGATGACAAAGGTCTTTTGAAACACAGTTCACATACTTTTTTTTCTTTAGTCAGCCTTCATTCTCCATAGAATAAAGGCTTTAGTTCTTAGTGTGTGTGTGTGTGTATTATTTATAACATACATGCATATGAAAAAAACATATGCAATGCTATGTCCTACATGGTGGCAGTGAGACTCTAGTAAGATGTAAAGATGTATGCAGAAGTCAGGTCAAAAGGAATGTGAACTTGATCCTATAGATGTTGGGAAGCTTTTAAAGGACTTTAAATTAGGGACCTATATGGTCATTTTTTGTGTGCTTATTTGTCTTCATTGAACCTCAGATGCAAACAGCTATTCTACTCAGTTCCTGGTACATTCTCATTATTAGTCCCTGGAAGGTTCTTCTCCTATTCCTTTTAATCTCCAAGCCTCAATCCATTCCTTGCCCCCTCCATAAGCAACTGTCCTTTCATATTTAAATATGGGTTTGTTTGTTTTTTAGTGATTTTTAGAGAGAGGGGATGGGAGAAGGAGAGAGAGAAAAACATCTGTTCGAGAGAGAAACATCGATTGGCTGCCTCCTGCATGTCCCCTACTGGGGATTAAGCCTGACACCCAGGTATGTGCCTTGACCAGGAATAGAACCAGAGACTTCTTAGTGCATGGGAGGACACTCAACCACATAAGCCACAACCGCCAGGCCTGTCCTTTCATATTTAATGTACATTATTTTGTTTGTATATATCTTTCAAATTACTACTGTTGTACTGTGCATTCGTTTCTAATTTATGTGAATGATATTGCATTACATGTCTGATGTTTTACTCTTTTCCCTCAGCATATTGTTTTTAAGAACGATTTATGATGCTATATGGAAGATATGTAATCTACTATTTCCAACTACTGTGTAGTTAAAATGGTCATATAATTTACAATGGAAATCCTGGGAGTAAAAGGGGGTGCTATTAATGATTACACTGGAATAAGAGGTTAAACAGGGCTGTACAAGGCAAACCAAGATGCATGGTCACTCTATGTTCCTAAATTCCATGCTGTTCATCCATGACATTTTATTGATCTCCTCTTCCAAAGATGAGCATCCAGGTTGTCTCCAACTCCCTGCTTTCAATAATAGCTTTTCAAACAGCTTAATACAGGTCCCACATGGAGCAGTGTGAGAATTTGTTTCTAAGCCAAAAAGATTTCTGTAATATTTATAAATTTCTGATAAGTAATTATGAGGCCACTGAAAAGATGAGCAAAGAGACAGAAAAGTAAATTGCAAAGCAATGTTCAAAGAACAAAAAGTGGTAAAGCACTTCAGTTAGAATGGAAGGTTTTAGTAGAGGGTAATGAAAGATATGACTAGCTGGAAAGTTTGCTTTGAGGCAAACGTGGGAGGGCCATGCATATTATGAACTATTATCTTGATGGTAACTGAGAGTCACTGAAAGTTTTGAATGAGGGTGTGAGACGATGGAAATGGTATTCTAGGCAGATATATCTGACAATACTGAATCAAATGGACAAGAGACTGGAAATGAGAAGACGTATTGAGAGAATATTTGAAAGCCAGTATAATACAGTAAGTAGTTAGCTAGGATACAGTATGGATTTTGAAGCCAGCTATCTGGATTCAAATTTAATTCCACCAGTTAGGTACTAGACTTATGACCTCATTTAAATTCCATATACCTCAATTTCCTAGGTTGGAGATTATTATAGTACCTTCCTCAAAGCTGAGTATCAAAAGGACCTAGCACATAATAACTGCTCTCATTATTAGCAATTATCATTATTGCTGCATCATCCAGAAAGAAACTGAGATCAATTTAGCTAATCTGGTGGTAGAATACCTTCAACAACCAGAACTCATGCCCAGAAGGAAGTATGTTAATATGACGCATAATGTGTCATTCAATGGAAAAATATCCTTGGTGAGGATTACCAAAGAAAAAAAAAGTTCAACTTCCAACAACCTATATTTGAAAGTACGTATCAAAATATTAACTCTGAACCTATCATATGTAATGTCTAAAACTTAAACACTGAATTATTCTAAGATTATAGGGGTCCTTTCATACTTCTAGGCCTAGTAATACTTCTAAAGACAAAGTTGACTAAGTCTTCCCTTATTACCACCCTCTTCCTCAAATACTTTAATCTGTGCTCTTGTATTTTATTTTTTCATCCACCCAGCAAAATATACCTTCTGGGCCCTGGCTGGTTTGGCTCAGCGGTTAGAGCGTCGGCCAGCCGTCTGGAGAGACCCGGTTCGGTTCCTGCTAAGGGCACGTACCTGGGTTGCAGTTTGTCCCCGGCCCGGGGTTGGTCATGCGGGTGGCAGCCCCTTGATGTGTCCCTTTCATGTCGATGTTTCTCTCTCTCTCTCTTCCTCTCTCTCCCTCCCACTCTATCTGAACAAAAAATGAAAAAATGTCTTCGGGTGAGGAATATATATATATATAATATATATATACATACACACACACACACACACCCTCCGGGAAAGGTCTGAAACTCCTTCACATCGAAGAGGGAAAGAGGTAACAGCTGAGTGCGAAAGCCTCGTGTGGGAGCCCTGCCCCTGGTTTCTGTGCCAGATTTGCTAATGTAATCCTAACTCTGTTATCACATGTATAAAAAGTTGGAATTAATGATTCCGAAATCCATTCCAACCCAGGTTATCGTCCTTAGGGGTGTTTGCAGCCTTATGCAGCCTTCATTCACTCCGTTTTATGCAGCACCTGAGACAGACAGGTAATCAAATACTGGAACTTCAATACTTATTAAGCAAACCTTGACTGGTCACTTCTCTGTGCCAGGCACTGTACTGGGTGCTTGCAATATCAGTGTTTGTAGAGATCTATTAGGTAATGTACAACTGAGGACAACACAACTAAGGGAGTTGAGATCAGAGGCGATGCTCAAGCTGTCTCTTCAATACAGTTGAAATCCCCCAAGGTTGGGGCGAGTACTAAATCCTGTTTAAATAAGGATGGCGTCTATAAACAGCGACGTAAAAGGCATTAAGAGTGTTTTCAGCAGCTGGAGCCTGGGGAACGCAGGGAGGTATTCGCACATGTAATTTGGCATGTTTTGCATGATTGCTTGATTAACGCCCGTCCCCCGCTAGACCACAGGTTCCACCAGTGTGGCGACAGCGTCTGCTTTCGCCCACCACTCTTCTCCCAGGCCTAACCCTGCCTCGTGCTCAATACCTGCTGAAAACCTGCATGCCACCGAGTTAAAATGTGTCATTTCCACAGTATCTTGAAGAGTGAACCTCCTCCGCTAAAAGAAAGAGAAATCGCAGTGCCTTGCAGCCTGCTGGAGTCCTCGGAGAGTCAAACCCGCGAGCGGGCTGTCTTCCCTCCGTCGGCCTCGGGCACCAGCCCCGGGCAGTCCCGGAGCCCTGGGGCAGGCACCGGAGGCGGGCTGGCCTGCGCCCCGGGCCGGCCTGCGCCCCCGCCGGGAGCCGACGCCAGGACTGCGCAGTCTAGCGGCGCCTCGGTCCGGTGCCCGGAAATGCATTTGCACGTTACGGAGACAAAAACAACCTGATTAGCTCCTCGACTAAAATGTGGACGGCGAGACAAAACAATTCCAGTAACCCAAGAAACCCTACACACCCGCGCTCGGCTCCGTGTGGAGACGCCGGCACACGCGCAGTACAGCTCCCTGAACAGCGCGGGAGGCCTCCCCTGGGCGTGGAGGCAGAGCGCCCTCTACTGGCCCAGGCGATCTCGCCTCGCGGTTCCGTCGCTATACCCGCCCCTCCGCCCCCGGCCCGCCCGGCTCGCGAGAGTAAGAAGTCTCCCTAAGGGGTTCTACGGAACTAAACTTCCTACACCCATTGTTCCCACACGGAAAATTTTTAATTCACCTTAATCTATTGGCATTAAAGGGCCGAGCGAAAAGGGAGGTGTTCTTATCGTAACTTGGCGGACGGGGCAGAGCGGAAGTCCTCGCTCACACGCCACACGGAGAGCATCCTGGGAGCCGGAAGTAGGTAGAAAGTCCTGCAGTCGACCGAACACCGGCAAGTTCGCGTGGTGGGAGAGCGCGTGGCGCTTTCAAGACGCGTGTTGCTGGAGCGCGTGACTCGTGTGCGGTCAGAGGTGCGGATAATTCGGCCTCGGTGTTGAACCCGGGACCGCGAGCTATGGTGGGGAGATCCCGGCGGCGCGGAGCGGCCAAGTGGGCAGCTGTGCGAGCCAAGGCAGGTCACGGCCCAGCAGACGAAAAGGAAGACGATGTGGAATTGCCACCCTCACCAGGGGACTCCAGCTACTACCAAGATAAGGTAGATGATTTCCATGAGGCCCGATTTCGAGCCGCCTTGGCCAAGGGCTGGAGCGAAGTAGAGAGTGGGGACGAGGAGGAGGATGGCAACGAGGAGGAGGAGGTGCTAGCTCTCGATATTGCCGATGAGGACGAAGAAGATGGAGAGAGTGCGGGGGATGAGGAGGAGGAGGAGGATGATGGTGGGAGCTCAGTGCAGAGTGAAGCTGAGGCCTCTGTGGATCCCAGTTTGTCGTGGGGTCAGAGGAAAAAACTTTACTATGACACGGACTATGGTTCCAAGTCCCGAGGCCGGCAGAATCAACAAGAAATAGAGGAGGAGGAAAGGGAGGAGGAGGAAGAGGCACAGCTCATTCAGAGGCGCCTAGCCCAAGCCCTGCAAGAGGATGATTTTGGGGTTACCTGGGTGGAGGCCTTTGCAAAACCTCAGGTGCCCCAGGTAGAGGAGTCTGAGACACGGGTTGTGAAGGATTTGGCAAAAGTTTCGGTGAAAGAGAAGCTGAAAATGCTGAGGAAAGAATCACCAGAGCTCTTGGAGCTGATAGAAGACCTTAAAGTTAAATTGGCAGAGGTGAAAGATGAGCTGGAGCCTTTGTTGCAGTTGGTGGAGCAAGGGGTCATTCCACCTGGAAAAGGAAGCCAATACCTGAGGACCAAGTACAACCTCTATTTGAATTACTGCTCCAACATAAGTTTTTATTTGATCCTGAAAGCTAGGAGAGTCCCTGCACACGGACATCCTGTTATAGAAAGGCTTGTTACCTACCGAACTTTGATCAACAAGCTGTCAGTTGTGGATCAGAAGCTGTCCTCTGAGATTCGTCATCTACTCACATTTAAGGATGATGCTGGAAAGAAAAAACTAAATACACAAGCAAAATCCACCAAGGCCAAAGCAAAATCTGTTTCAGAGACTACTGCTGCTGCCACTGCCTCTGCCATTACAGATATGTCTGATGATTCCAGTTTTGATGATGCTGCACTGAAATACTATAAAGAAATAGAAGACAGGCAAAAGTTAAAGAGAAAGAAAGAAGAAAATAGTACTGAACAACAGGCTCTTGAAGATAAAAATGCAAAGAGAGCCATTACCTATCAGATTGCCAAAAATAGGGGACTTACACCTAGGAGAAAGAAGATTGATCGCAATCCCAGAGTGAAACACCGAGAGAAGTTCAGAAGAGCCAAAATTCGCAGAAGAGGCCAGGTTCGTGAAGTTCGCAGAGAAGAGCAGCGTTATAGTGGTGAACTATCTGGAATTCGTGCAGGAGTCAAAAAGAGCATTAAGCTTAAGTAAAGATTTTGCTTTAAGTTTTTTTTTTTTTTAGTCAGATCAATAAATTTTCATTTTAACTAGTGAAGTGATTGTATTAATATATAATACCTAACCTTAAATTTTTTTACTCTAAACATTATGACATGATGTGAGAACTACATGATAGTAAGTTACCACAAACTGGTGGGTTTGCCCAAGGTCAGAACTGTGGCAGGAGGTCCTGGGGCGGGGGGCTTCCCTGCCCCACAATAGGTTCATTTCTTGCCTGGCGGAAACTTTTGGCATTTGGCAGTTTGGCAGGGACAGAGGACAGATAAATGGCTATCAGATACAGACTGTTGGAGGGCCTGTAGAAATGGAGTGGGGAGGGCAAATCGATAGCATCCTCCTGTTGTCCTCCCGTTCCTGTTCCTGCCCCTGCATGGTCATGGGCTGAGTTGTGGAGGCCGCTGGGTTCCTTGGTCATCTTAGGGCTGATGATGATGCTGTTGGTGACACGGAGCTCATACCAGCCTGCCTAGAACTGGGTGACCTTGCCCCCATGCTGGAAGAGGATATGACAGACACCTGGAGGGTAATCTGAGAAGGTGTGGAAGACCTCTGTCTACTTGCATCGTTCCACTGGTGGATGGTCACAGCTAGGGGCTCAAAGGAGGCCAAGGCGATGTAATTGGCTGAGACCAACTGTACTCAGATGTAGGTACAGCCACAGTCTTGCTCTGGCAGCAAACCAGTCCTTAATCACAATGTCAGGCGAATTATGTCCATTAATTCCTCCCAGTAGCCCTCAGCTTTGAAGTCCACCATCTGGGGCTTGAAGCATAACCCAAAGGATGTGACGAAGTACTTCTTGACTTTGGAGTCAGAAAAACCTTTCCTATGGGTTCCAGGTAAGTTCTCCACCTTCCACTGGCCCCCTCCATCCTAGTCGATTTGCCAGGATCTCATACCCTCTTCAGGATTTGGGTTGTGTAGGAGGTTCCTGCAGAGGCTGCACAGAAAATAAAAATCTTCCAGTCAGCCACAGGTTCGTCACAGCCCTCACACAGGCTCTTGTGTTTCCAGAGGGTCACAACATCAATGAGGTCACGCCAGAGGCTGCAGACAGGGCGGCAGTCCAACAGCAGCTGGTGGGTAAGCACGAATGTGAATACCTCCAGCAGGATGTTCTCAGGCAGTTTACTGATGCTGACCAGGGCCATAGCTGTGGAGGGGGTGGGGTGCACACACAGGCCGGCGGGGGCAACAACAGGGGTTATGAGCCCTGACCAAGGAGGTGGACTCCTCAGATCCCAGGGTCCCCTAATGCTACTTCCCCTCCCGGGACTGTCAGGACCTGTCACCCCCTGCAGGTCCTCACTGGGCCCCTGTCACCCCTGCAGGTCCTCTAGCTGGGCCCAACCAGGCTCGGGTGGGACCAGAGCTCCACCCTAACCTTAAATCTTAAAAATTCTTGTCAACAGGGAAATTCGTTTGGGATATAGCTCAATGTATTTGTCCTTTAATTTATGTTAAGGTCATACTAGGGACTGTGGGAGCAATATACAGATGCTTGGGAAAAGAGATGGTGTTGAAAAAAGTTCTCCAATATCCTGTCAAGTATTACCTAGGAAAAGTTCACGGCTAGTTGTGGAGCAACAGTCAAACTGGTACAGTTTTTCACATAAACTGAAGAGGGTGCACCTTTGGCAAATAATTTATAAAATATTTCTGATGTATTATTTCATTTACCTAAGTATAATTCTTGAGCAGGACACTTGTTAATAAATAGGTTTAATGTTAACTTAAGTTTGTACATTTTGTGTGGTAAAAGCTTAGGAGTGAAGAGGAACTTTGGTTAAAAGTAGAGAGAGAGATTCCTTAATTACATTGTGGTATTTTCTAATAGTCCTTAATGTGGTAAAAATTCCATTTCCCCTTCTGTACTGGTATTTGCAGTGGTTGCTGTTTGTACACTCCATTTCCTGAAAAACTGGTATGATACCACTAGGTAAGTGCCAACTTCATATGGTAACAAAGTTACATTTGTCTTTAGTTGTTCTGGTGTTTACAGTAAGAGAAAGATATTGAGATGAGAACATAAAAATATTTAGGATGATGCCAGGGAAGAAAATGAGAGGACCAGTGAAGGAAAACAGAAAAGATGTCTTAACTATGTCACTGTTTTTCATTAAACATTGTGCTAGCTGCTAAAGATGTAGCAATGACCAAAGGTTAATATTAAATACTTTCCATGTACCAGATGTGTATCACCTCATTTAATCTTTGCAATAATTTTGTACTGTTCTGTCAGAGATGAGGATGCTAAAATTTGTGAAGGTTAAGTTTCTAAAGGGCACATGCTTGGAATTTGGGCCCAAGCCAGTTTAATTTCAGCCTTTATTCTCTTAACCTTTGGCTTACACCTGCTTCCTCAGAGTAGCACACATGTCCAAATTAGTTTATCTTTTGTTTTCTTACAAATAAAAAAGATAGGTTGGAAGTAAAATTAACACTTAGTGCTAAGGCACATTTTGTATTTATTTCCTTTTTCTTCACAAGTCTTGTGTGGTAAATTCTATTGCATATTATAAAGATGAGGAAACTGTGACAAAGTTAAAGTAACTTTCTCAAGGTCATATAGCTATTTAGTGGCATAGGTAGGGTTTCATCTTAGCCTTGCTGGCTTCAGAGCTCTATCTTTTTCTGATATCAAATAAAATCTGCAGGTTTTGGAGTTAACTTACAAGGGTAGTTTTGATTTAATTACTTGATCTCTGACTCATTTTCTTAATCTGTATAGTACAATCATACCTACCTTGAAGAAGAGATGTAACAATGGTTAAGAGCTGTGAGATCATAGAAAAAATATATATATTGGTCTCTGCCCCACAATTCCCCACAAAGGGCTCCTAAAACCCTTGTAAATTCCTAAGTGATAAGAATACTCAGAAACATGCCCTGGCCAGTTTGGCTCAGCGGTTGGAGCAGCTCACGGTCTGGAGAGACCCGGGTTCAGTTCTCACTAAGGGCGCATGCCTCGGTTGCAGTTTGTCCCCAGCCCCAGTTGGGTTGTGTGGGTGGTGACCACTCGGTGTGTCTCTCTCATGTCGATGTTTCTCTCTCTCTCTTCCTCCCTCTCTCCCTCTCACTCTATGAATGCAAAAAGTGTCCTCAGGTGAGGATTAAAAAAAAAAAGAATACTCACAAACATCTTTTGTTTTAATGAAGTGACTCCGGAGGGCCCCTGAATGCCTCTGGGTGGAGACGTCACCAGAAAGACCAAGCCATGACTAGAAGCTTGGAATTTTCAGGCCCACTCTCCATTCTCCAGAAAGGGCAGAGGGGCTGGAAATGGAGTTAATGATTGATTATACCTATGTGAAGAAGTATCCATAAAATCCCAGTAGTGTGGGATTCAGAGAGCTTCCAGGTGGTGAACATATCTACTTACTGGGAGGGTGATTAACCCCAATTCCACCAGGACAAGCTCCTGTACTCCAGGCCCTCCCGGACCTCGTCCTATATATCTCTTTATCTCACTGTTCATCTCTATCCCTTATCATATCCTTTTAATATGTAAACATAAGTAAGTGTGAGCAAATTAATCGAACCCTAGGAGGGAATCCCGGGGACCTCTGCTTTATAGCCAATCTGCCAGAAGCACAGGTGACAGCCTATCTCCAGGTAGTGTCAGAATTGAGTTAAATTGTAGGACACCCAGCTATTGTCACAGAATTGCTTGAGGGGTGGGGGAGACCTCAATACACCTGGTGTCAGAAAGTGTTGTGAGTGTAGCAGTAGCATGAGAGTAAAGGAGACACACAGGTAAAAAACAGGTTTTCCAATTATAGTTCCTAATCCAGCTCCATCACTTACTACCTATGACTTTGCTCACGTTACTTTCTCTGTTCCTCTGTTTTTTCATCGAAATTAGGGATGTTAGTAGTGGTACCTACTTCGTAGAGTTATTATGAGGATTAAATCAATATATGTAAAGCACCCAGAATAATGCCTGATATACAGTAATCACCTAATAAGCATTGACTCTTACTACAAGGTTGTGAGAATTAACTTCTGGCACAGAGATGCTCAATGAATGGTTTCTATTCTTTACATGAATATAGAGAATATAGTGTAGTCATATATGTAGAAATACTTGAGAAGTTAATATCCTAAGTTTGGAAGTAGAAGAGGGCATTGGGTAAGCGCATGAAGGGACATAATAGACTAGGTTTTGTTTTTTTTTTGGTACGTGCCCCTAGCGGAACCCGAACCCGGGACTCACTGGTCCGAAGGCCTGTGCTCCAACCGCTGAGCCAAACCAGCCAGGACTAGTCTAGGTTTCTATAGAAAATCTAAGACAGGGCAAAAAGCAAGAAAATGAAGTTAGAGGTTGAAAGTATTTGATGTTCTATGTCAAATCCCTGACATATGCATAAAGTTGCAGTGAGAAAAAAATTTTAAAAGAAGAAAAATCTTGCATTTAGGAAAGTGGAAAAATTAAGCCTGTTATATATTGCTCTGAATATATCAAGTATTCCTTCAGAGAACTCTCAACATTTTATAAATATTAATACATTCTGGAATAGCTAGGATATAGATGATGCTATCTCATTTAATAAACATAAAAAGTGGCCTTGTCTGATGTGAAATTAATAGCAAAAGAAGTAACAAATTGCTGGACTTAATATTTACATCATCCAAATTTTGTATTTACTTAAACATTTAAAAGCACTGAGAGGGGTGGGTGGAGGTGAAAAAGAGCATAGAGGGGATAAATGGTAATAGAAAAAATAAAATAAATTTAAAAAATAATAAACAGTTTCAGTAACACTATAAAGAAAAACAAAACAGATACAACCTATGATAAGCTGCTTTAGGGTAGGAATTCTATTCCACAGTATACACAAAGAACACAAACTTTGCTGTTAGATCTTCATAAAAAAGATAATTAAAACTGTTAATCAAAATAGTCCCTCAACATGTTTTATTTTCTACTATAAAGTTAACACATTCATATAGACTACTTGCAAATACAGAAGAGTAGAAAAATGGAAAAATACATCCATTTTCTACCACCCAAAGAAAACTGCCATTG